CGTTTGGTTTGCACCAATTGTCACTCCCGGATCAGGACATCCACTCACCTGGAATTGTGATCTCTATATGATCTACACAATCACATTGAACTAATTTTAACATTTAATGATCACCTTCAGAGTGATATCACGTATTCGCATAAGTTTGAAATAGCATATTATTGTGTGTATTAACGTGTATCAATACTTAGCGCTGCAACCATTTTATTTGGATATACAAAATATCAACGTATGTTAAAGGGGCTTTCTACCTTTAAGAATTAAATAGAAAATCCTGTGGCATGGTCACCAAAGTTTGGTCAGCATCTGTGGTCTACCAGCTTGGAAAACCAGCCTGTTCTCAGTACAAAGGAATGTAAAGAACTTCAAACTAATTTAGCCCTTTTCACTGCCTATAATTTCTGCTCAGAAGCTTGTGCTTCATTATTATCTAAATAATAAATATGCATCGGGCGTTTTCTGGTACCCAATCGTTACTGTGCTGGGAGTATGCTCTCAGCACAGTAAAGTGTTTACCTAGGGGCTCACATATGTGGCCGCTTGGCAATAAAGTCCACCTGCCAAGAAGCTGCATATATGTGCCAGGTCAATGGGAAGTGGTTAAAGTGTGTTTCTACTTTTGCAGCCAAATTGAGATAACATTTGTTTTATATATTTGTTACATGTTCCCATTCACATAACATAACTGAAAAAAAATTGCAGCTTACCATTTTTACATGTTCATTTCTAGAAATTCCAGCACTGAAAATCTTACTGTGTTCTCCTTGTTTATGAATGGGCTATAAAGCTGTGATTGCCATATTTAAACTTGTGTGTAATGTGCTGGCAGATATTATTATCAGTTGTAAGCTAGAGTGGACCACTGTCTATACTAAAAAAGAGTTAACGATTTTGAAGCTTGCCCTCTTCATCGTACGTTATTGAGAGGATGTTCATCCTGTCCTAAGAATTTCTATCGGGACAAACTCACACAAAGTTGTTCAGAAATGCTTGCATTCAGTCATGACACCTTCTCAAAAGAAACATCTAAGAGGTAAGAAATTAAAAAACAAAATATGCATGTCATGTAAATGGGAACACATAACTAACATATACTGGGATTTTCTAAAAATTTACAGCAAAAGTGGACCTGGACACTCTCAAATGTATTGGTTTCCTAATGGACTTTGAAGGACATTTTATTGAATGGTGCAGAGTTCACCCTCAGGAAGAGTACTCACCAATGTCTTTTACACTTATTGCTTGACTAGGGAACTTTGCTATAGTGACAGGGTCACTTTAAATAACACATACTCTTTGGGGGAGATTTACTAAGACTGGTGCTCTCAGAATTTGGCATGGTAGCCAATCAGCTTCTAACTTCAGCTTGTCCAATTACGCTTTAACAATAAAACCTGGAAGCTGATTGGTTTCTATGCAGAGCTGCACCCGATTTTGCTCTCCCATTTTCATAAATCTTCCCCTCTGAGACAATTGTTTCCTCTAGTAGACATTAATGAGTCACATAAATGTACTAACAATTCTCCAAGGAGGTCTGAAAAACCTGCAATTAACTTGGGAAACAGACTATTGTGTTGCCTCCAAGGGATCATCTCACTCTCTAAAAGATTCCCGGAATGCCATGGAAAATTATATACAACACAATGATTATAAAGCTAGAATATACTGTAAATTTTTATTTTTCATGTAAAATGTTCAGCTTTAATAATTACCAGCATGGCATGAAAACAGTAAACCGTAATAAAATATAGAGAAGATATAAATATTCAGTAGAAAAGGTGGATTTTAATCCGGCAGGTGGTTTATATTCATATTTCTAAAATGGTCAAAATGTAATTTTTCCAAGCATGGTTCTGTCCCTTGTTTGAGGAAACCCCTCCCACCAAACGTAGCAGGGCTGACAGCAATATAGCAGAGGGCACACTTGCTCCTCTCCTATTGGAAAGGTGGAGAGGGGCACACTCATTTCTGTTTTTTTAAATGGCAGTTAAAGTGGAAAAAAATAAAAAGGTGTACTGGATCCCCCACCCCCTTTACCACTACACTTACCTCTGTGGGTAATTAGCTGTCACTGCCTATGCAACCAGTGCAGCAGTCCAGGGAGCCCCTCTCTTCTCCTATGTCTTCTTAGGGTTTCTAGGATGGATCATGGTGATTTTGATTGGTCATATGCTGGCACGTGACCATTTTGATCAATCGGAATCATTCTGACCTGTCCTGGAACCCTAAGGAAAGAAGGGGAAGAAGAATGTGGATTTCAAATCCCTGGACTGCTGTGCTGGCAGTGACAACTCATCACCCACAGAGGTAGGTACAGCAGGGACCAGGGGGTGGGGTGGGTGTAGGGTCTTAATTTAGCAAGAAAGAGACAATATGTGATTAGGAGCCAAGTTAGAAGTGTCCAAATTGTGGTACCATCCCAAAATTTCAATCAAAGTAGAAACAAAAGAAAAGCATAAGTAACTACACCTAAGCATAAATATGGAACTCTCTTGCTCAGAAAAAAGGGACTTTACATGTACCTCACAATGGGATAAATATAAAACAAAAACTAAAAAAAAACTATAATTTTTTAATACATCTAGTTAAAATAGGCATTTCACATAAAAGCAATGAATATCACGGTCAAGCACCAGCATACAGTCTTTTAAGTTTGTGATGAACAAACAATAAGTATATAGGATCGACGCGTTTCACTGCATTTGCTTCCTCGGGATTCACACTTGAGATGCAACACTAAGTCATATCAGATCACCTAGCATGAAAGGATTGAAACAGTATACATCCCTTCTTGTGAGGGAGAAGAGGATCACATTGGTTGATGGCCTATGCAGTTTTGGCAGTTACCAGCTATTGGTTTTGTTGATCTTATACTTGTGGATAACATTGTAGGGGTTAATTTTGGACGGCCATGGGTGTATGAGCAGTGTGTAATTGGATGTAGGATAGGAGCCGTATGGGAACAGCCTGGAGTGTTATGTACCTAATTATAAGCTGATCCCTGCTCTTCCCTGTTTAGAGCGAGATCAGAGTTTGATCCTGCTCTTTGCATAATATCCCCCATTTGGTTCCAATTAGGTAATGTGATCCTCTTCTCCCCCACAAGGAGGGATGTATACTGTTTTAATATTTTCATGCTAGGTGATCTGATGTGGCTTAGTGTTGCATCTCAAGCGTGGATTCTGAGGACGTAAATGCAGCGAAACGCTGCATTTCTGCTTTTCAGATAAGCGGAACTTATCTGAAAAGCAGAAATTTCTCATTGCTCAAGGAACCCCTAGCAACCTCTGGAGGAACCCTAGGGTTTTAATCTTTTCCACACAGAGTAACCCTTGAAGTAACTTTTCAATCCCAGGGAACCCCTGTAAAAAACTACTATATCTACAACTCATGATACATTAGTGTGGTGGTCAGTTGGAAGAACGCTAGGTGATCTGATGTGGCTTAGTGTTGCATCTCAAGCGTGGATCCTGAGGAAGTAATTGCAGAAATGTGAAATGTGTCGATCCTATACGCTTATTGTTTGTTCATCACAAACGTAAAAGACTGTATACTGGTGCTAGACCAGCCTTTTTCAACCTTTTCCCCACAGAGGAAGCCTTGAAATAACTTTTCAATCCCAGGGAACCCCTCCTAAAGACTACTATATCTACAACTCATGATACATTAATGTGGTGGTCAGTTGGAAGAATGCTCCTTACTCTTGTGGTCATTTGGAAGACTTACCACCTAGCGGGTGGCTAAAAAGATCAACGGTGTCAGTGGGAACTTATCTGAAAAGCAGAAATGTTCTCATTGCTCAAGGAACCCCTAACAACCTCTGGAGGAACCCTAGGGTTCCACAGAACCCTGGTTGAGAAACCCTGTTCTAGACCATGATATTCATTGTTTTTATGTAATATGTCTATTTTAACTGGATGGAATAATAAATACTATATATTTTTTAACGTTTTGTGTTGTATATTTATCCTTAGGCGTGGGTATATTTTTGTCCCTGCTAGGGTCTTAATTCACCCCTTTATTTTTCTTGAAAATATGAACTTGCATTTTAAATCTAAAGCTGAAACATTCAGCACCATGGAGAGCTATTCCCAGTAGATGTGCTTGCAAGGTAAATACTCTTCTTCGCATGTATTGTACAAGTGGGAATCTTTGTTCATTGACTGCATTCACCTGGTGCACATTCATTCTATTGTAAATTGGGTGAAAGTGATGATGAAATGCGCAGTGAATACTGACAATTCTCACTGGGCACATGTCCGTGAAGGATTAACTGGGCAAAGTTCCCCTTAGTTTACAAAAACACTATGTATCACAAACAGTTGTCAATTTTTTTTTTTATTTTTTTTTTACTAATTGTCGCATCTAAGCACTGCTAATCCTGCAGCCTCTTTGCAGTCAGTTCCTGTCTACATGCACTGAGATGACTGCACAGGGAAGGATACCTAATGGTGGCAACAGTGCACCATACTTGCCTAATGTGTGTTGAAACAGTCGCTTGTCTCCATTGGAAACCTGAGCAACAGCGTGGCAATGCAGGATCACAAATGGGGGAGGAAAGGCAGAGTATTGTCACCATATAACATACATTGCCTGAACAAGGACGTCATGGCAGGATCACCGGATATTATTTTAATAAACGCTGCCCATTTAAAAAACATTCAAAATAACTTCTAAAATTACAGTAATATGTAAAACAGTAAAACCCAACTCCAGGAAGCTTGAAAATTCTCCCCTGCAGAGGAGCTGCAAATGCACTGCAAGGGTTAATTGCTCATGTAACCGCTTTCCCGGCACCATATAGCAGATATACTGCTACAAGGCGGCAGGGGTGCCCAAAATCACACATATATATAGATGTGATTTTGCATTTCCGTTATTCACGGCCTTGGCTGTCAATCACCAGGTCCCGGCCGGTAATTACTCGCTGGCACCCAGTGATCGCGGAGCATTACCAATGGAGGGAGGGAACTGTATGTAAACAATACAGATCTCTCCCCTGTCAGCTCCTGCAAACTGCTTTGTATGACTTTTCATAGCAGAGCCATGCAAAGCAGTGTGCTTACAGTGTAAAGCACACACAGCCCCATAGTAAAACACGCACAGCACACAGTTAACAATTTTATCACCCCACATGTTAACCCCTTCCTGCCCAGTGCCATTAGTACAGTGTCAGTGCTTTTTTATTAGCACTGATCAGTGTATTGGTGTCACTCAGGATGTCAGTGACACCAAGTCAGTTCCCCTCAGTGTCAGAATGCCCACTGCAGTCCTGCTATAAGTTGCTGAATGCTGCCATTACTAGTAAAAATTAAAAAGAAATCCCAGTATACTGTATATACCGCCATTTGTAGACGCTATAAATTAATTTACGCGTATTGGGATTTTTTTTTTAGCAAAGATGTAGCAGAATACATTTTGGCTGAAATGTATGACAAATTTTTTTTACTGGAAAAGTTTAATAGCAAAAAGTTAAAAATATTGTTTTTTTCTCAAAACTGTCGGTCTTTTTTTTTATAGTATAAAAAATAAAAAACGCACAGGCAATCAAATACCATCAAAAGAAATCTCTATTTGTGGGAAAAAAATGATGTAAATTTCATTAGGCATGACTGCACAATTGTCAGTTACAGTAACACAGAGCCGTAACACAAAAAATGGCCTGTTCAAGAAGGGGGGTAAATCCTCTGGAGGTCAAGTGCTTAAAGTGGAGCTCCACCCAAAAAAGGAAGTTCCACTTTAAGGACTGCTCCCTCGCTCCCCGTTAAGGATTGGCACCTTTGGGGGGCGGGGGGGGGGGGCGGCTACCAGAATTTGACAGGTACCCGCTCCCACTTCTGATCCGATCCCCTAGGCGATCAGAAGCGGAAGGTGTCCTCGCTCTCTCCCTCCCTGTAGTCTTTTGGGACACGTGACAGGTCCCAGAAGACTACAGGACCATTCATGAAGCGCAGTACTACTCGCACATGCAAGTTTCCCAGAGCTGTGCTTTAGAGCGGTAATAAACCCAAAACCATAAATGTAATATATTGCAGCTTACCAATCATTGAACGTGGTGGCTGGATCAGTTTCCAATTCTTAAGCTTTTTTTCCCTTTGTTTTCACCTGTTGATCTGGTAAGTGAATGAGCACAGGAGGCACAGCAGAAAGCAGCATTGTCACTTTGGGGGGAGGGGAGAGTTGAAGCGGTAGTAAACCACTTCTAAAAAAAAAATCCCCTGCAAGGTAAAGGCATCGCATACTAACACATTATGCAAAACTTACCATAAAACAAAGCCCTCCAGTGGCTCACTGTCACCGATGTAGAGGTTTCCATTTACGCCCGGTCTTCCTTCCGGGTTCATGAGATCCGCTCATCTGTCTTTCTGAGCCGCGATGACATCATCCCGCACATGCGCACAGGAGTCTTGGGACACAGCACAGTGCTCTGGCACGTGTATGTGGTTCCTTCAGAGTGCATACGCTGCTGTATGAAAAACCCAAATATCTCCTTAACCACTTCAAGTCCGGACACTTTTACCCCCTTCCTGTCCGGGCCAATTTTCAGCTTTCAGCGCTGTCACACTTTGAATGACAATTGTGCGATCATACAACACTTTACCCATATGAATTTTTTAGCATTTTTTTAAGACAGATAAAACTTTATTTTGGTGGTATTTATTCACCACTGGGATTTTTATTTTTTTTTGCTATATAAATGAAAAAGTCCAAACATTTTGAAAAAAAGTGTTTTTCTTATAAAATTTTGCAAATAAATACTCTTTCTTCATAAATCTTAGCTAAAATTTATTCATCTATCTTTTAGTAAAAAAAATAACCCAAATTAGTTTATAACCAAAAATTATAATTTTTCAAAAAAGTTTTACATTTTTTTTATTTTTTTATATTATTATTTATGTGTTGTTTTTTTTTCACATACTGTCACCCTAGCAGTGCAGTGTCACCTTAGTGATTTTGTGTTTTTTACACTGATTGCTTTTAAACCCATAAAGGCTGTAAAAGCAATAATTTCTCCTTCTCTCTGGCTGCATTCTTGCAGCCATTGAGAAATACTGTGTGAGCTGTGATTGGTCACAGCTTGTCACATGGTACAAGGCTGTTGTGAATAGCCTTGTACCATGTGATCTCTGTGATCATTCACAGATTTCACACATAGCAAGCAATGATGTCAGGAAGTGACATCTTGCTTACTACTCTTCATGTGATCACTGATTGGCCAATCAGTGATCACATGATCGGGACCTCACACAGAGGTCCCATACAATGATCGGTGTTCCTCCGGACACAGCGGGCACCGGATTGCAGTGCTGTGTGCTCCCAGGGAGCGTGCACAATAAGGGAGTGGGGAGGACGTTTATAAACGGTCATCCGTCCCTGCACTGCTCCCATCTGGCCATTTTTATACATGGGCCATACGGGAAGTGGTTAACGGTGCATGTTTAGGAGATATTCTTTTTACCTACAGGTAAGCTTTATTATAAGTAAAAAGAAATAAAGTGGATTTGCTACCACACTTTATAATCAGTTACAGCAATTAATTTTTTCCTTTCGGGATAACGTTTGCTTGAGCAAATGAAAGCTGATCATTGTGAGCACCCCTGCCAGTGTTATGTGGTTTGTCTCATCTATATAAACTGATACATTCTGCTGAAGAGCTTGTTCTTTTGAAAAACAACAAATGTGTTGGCTGGATCACCAAATGAAAATAGAAAAAAAAAGTCTAAGAAAGAAAACTAATGCAGCAATCACATCTAAGATTTGATAAGCTGCAATATATTAAATTCTTGCTTTTGGGTTTATTGCTGCTATGGGTGAGATTTTAGTGATTGCATTTACATTCATACTAATGGGTAGTCGCTGATCCCAAAGAAGACACTCAGATCAAGGTGTTCCAACTGGCTGCAAATATTGTATTGATGAGTAATGGCAGCATAGTGGCTCAATAGTTAGCCTTCCACCTGGCAGTACTAGGGTCGTTGGTTCAAATCCCAGCCATGGCACCTCCTGCTTGGAGTTTGTATGTTCTGCCTGTGTGGGTTTCCTCCAGGTACTCTGGTTTCCTCCCACACTCCAAAGACATGATGGTAGGTTAATTGGCTCCTGTCTAAAATTGGCCCTAGTATATGTATGTATGAATGTGAGTTAGGGACCTTAAATTGTATGCCCCTTGAGGGTTAGGGACTGATGTGAATGTACAATATACCATATATGTAAAGCGCTGTGTAAATTGACAGCACTATATAAGTACCTGAAATAAATAAAATAAAGCTCTGGAGCCTGCACCTTCCAAACAAATTCAACAGGTTCTCTTTACCCCATCACCAGACCATTGTCCACACTAGCCTATAATAGATCCTACTAGACCTACCAGTGTTCAATCCACAAAGACCGCTCGCCTGGCAGGGAAATAATTGTTTTTTCTCACCTTGTCCTTCCATAAAGACGAAATGGGCCCCGCAGGAAACGCGTTCATGTTGCAGAAGGTGAGCAAACCGGATGGAAACGGAAAGCCAAAAAAACTGTGATAAGTGGAAGTCTTAGCGCCTCTATGTATCACAGTGAAGCTCTAAATGAAATGTTTGTTCCAAGAAAAATATTCCCCGAGTATAAATAGAATGGGACGAAGAGCGAATGTAAGCAAGAGGGATGGAATTCAATGTATCTTGTGGAGAAGAGAACAGATTGTGCTGGATCTCTATTCCAGATAATGGTGTTCTCTTCTACTCTCTCAGGCGGCACAATGCTGCTCTACAGCCAGGCAAGAGATGCAGACTAAATGTCATCTAATATCTGTATTTAGGGGAAAACAAACAGCGAGAACATGTAACGGTTGTTGTTACCGTTTTTCAGGGAGGGTGTCTGGCTTCATCCCTGGAACAGTCCTTGGTTTACAGTTTTTTTCATGTTATACCTAAAAATCTCTTCTTGTTCTGCCTATTTAATTCACATCATACAGTGACTAGAGACCGGTAAAATGGCAGCTGACATTTAATCTGCTTACGTTTTGCCTTCCCTGGTTCCTTCTTCACCCTTTTATTAACAGGCAACCTTTCCATTTTCATTACTTATCTTATTTGAATTCCGGTAATGTCATCACTGGGTCTCTGTGCTTCTCTATGCAATGCAGGTGGGTCATGACTGAGGGGAGGCGCCAGTACATAGCTTCTTTACAAAGCTTCCTGAAAACATCACAGCACCCTGTCTGAGTAGTCTTCAAGAGTTCTAACCCAGCAAGCAGTGGGCTGACTCTTGGGAGGAGATATGCAAATATCTAAATGCCTTGATGGGTGGATGTCAGTCTGAAGGGAAGGATTTTCCAAGGCAGACTGCATTTGCCTGCAGGCCTGCCCTAGGAAATACATGTGATGCTGCGTCCCCAGGACTGACGGAACTGAAATCCAGTTAATAAAATGGGTGGGTTATGAACAGTAAGGCTAGGAGGAAAGGGTTAAAGCAGTGGTCTCCAAACTGCCGCCCAGGGGCCAGATGCGGCCCTTTATTTGTTTTTTATCTGTCTCTTGGGGCACTATTCTCCCAATGGAAGTGCACTATTTCTCCTACTGACACCAATGAAGTGGCACTGTTTCTCCCACTGACACCAATGAAGTGGCACTGTTTCTCCCACTGACACCAACAATCGGGCACTATTCCTCCCTCTTACAGTAAGGCTAGGAGGAAAGGGTTATAGCAGTGGTCTCCAAACTGAGACCACTGGGCAAGATGCGGCCCTTTACTCTCTCTTTTTCTGTCCCTTGGGTCACTATTCCTCCCACTGACACCAATGATGAGGCACTATTCTTCTACTGACACCAATGATGGGGCACTATTCCTCCTACTGACAGCAATGAGGTGACACTATTTCTCCCACTGACACCAACACTGGGGCACTATTCCTCCCATGTATAGTAAGGCTAGGGGGAAAGGGTCAGAGCAGGAATCTCCAAACTGCAGCCTAGGTGCCAGATGCACTTTTTTTCTGTCCCTTAGAGCACTATTCCTCCACTGACACAAACATTGGGGCACTAATTCTCCCACTGACACCAAGATTGGGGCACTATTTCTCCCACTGACACCAACTTTGGGGCACTATTCCTCCCACTGACACCAATGATGAGGCACTATTCTTCCACTGATACCAATGATGGGGCACTATTCCTCCCACTGACACCAATGATGGGACACTATTCCTCCCACTGATACCAATGATGGGGCGCTATTCCGCCCACTGATACCAATGATGGGACACTATTCCTCCCACTGATACCAACACTGGGGCACTATTCCTCCCACTAACCCCAATGATGAGGTGCTATTCCTCCACTGACACCAATGATGGGGCACTATTTCTCTTGCTGTCACCAACATTGGGGCAACTATTCC